CCCTCAATACTTATTGTAGTAGGAGAAATTCCTAAGGAAAAAAAGGTATGTTTTTGAAAAACCTACAGCACCTCAAACTGCTTGCATTTCCTCATCTATTCATCTCAAAACGTCCCAGTGAAAGACAGAAATGATGTAAGCCCCCACTGCACAAAGAGGAAGAGGCCAGAGGGTGGCTGGCCCGCCCCCGCCCCCCTCCGCAGGAAACAAGGGTCTCGGGCTCCCTCCGCGGCCGCTTCACTCCCTGCCCGGAGGTCGGGCGCAGCGCGCGGGCCGGCAGACCGTGCTGACACAGGGTGTGTCTCCCCACACAGGTGACCAGCCTGCTCCGTGGCCTCTGACAGGTGGTACCAGAGCGTCACCATCAAGAATCTGCACTCACCCCAAGAGCCCTCCTTTTAAAAACTCCTACTTTCGGACGGACTTCCAAAGTAGGGCTTTCGGAACTGTGGCAAAGTCCCTAAAATAAGCCTCACAGAGCACGAGACATTTAGAATGTCACTTTTACACTCCAGATGATGCCTAATTCGTACTGTCTTCAGAAGGTCCTGGGGAATGCACAGGGTTCATACTGACTGACGCTGTTTCGTGTTTGGCGAATCTCAAAAACTCTTTCAATTCCTTTGGCATCATTTAAATTAGTGGAACATGCCACACAACTGCCCCACCAGAGCTCAACAATAGTCTCGGGGGGTCTATTCAGAAGCACCTATGAAATCTGGAGGTTTCACCCACTTCCAGACAGGCGGCCCGCGGTAATCACACCAACAGTCGCACTTAGCTCTACACGTTTCAGGCGAGCTGTGCCAAGAAATAAGTCAGCTCTTTCAAAGCAAAGCCTATCATATGATTTATTGCAGAGCTACAAAGTACTCTTTTCACCAAAATGGCTGGCAGACGTGTAAGCTATTCAGCGAAACCTCCCCCCAGTGCACGTTCTGGAGGACTAATAAATAAATGAAAACACTGTACGGGCACGACATGAACCAAGACTCTACGAATAAATACCACGCGGCACTAAGAAAAACACTGTAAGCATATTTCACTCCAAATGAACCAGATTCACTCTGCACAGTAACTCGCACGCCTCAGGGAGGCGGGAGCGGGGAAGAGAAGGCACTCTCTTTGAGAAAGAATATGGAAATGACACGCGCACTCATTCCAGGGAAATGATGCAGATATTGGGTGCTTCGGAAAGCCACGCCATGAGCAAACAGTCCTACACTGTGTCTCTTTCACTATGTTTTATTTATCACTAAGTTCTAACGAAAGTGAAGAGCACTTATTCCACATTCAAAGTCAATCTACACTATCCACACGCTTAAGGTTTACGAAGATGTGACAAGGACACTTTTTCCACCCAGGGAAAGTTGCGCTGATGATGCAGGTTCGCCGTGAAGCTCAGTAAGCGATCTTTACAACACAAAGCAGTGAGTTCAAGTTACGTAAGCACTTCATAAGAAAACCTTATCTCCTCAGGATAAACGCATCACCTGTGGCACCTGTGAACTGGATGCTTTAAAAAAAGAAGAAAAAGATTTTATTAGAAAAACCAGTTTGGTTCCTACTACCAATCTTCAAGGGGGCGCTCCAATAAGTCTCCCTTTCTGAGCAAAAGACAGCTGCTTCTGTGCTACGCTGTGTACTAGGTCACCAGCCTACATTGTTCACTGTGCATCGACTCTATGCAAATTAATTTAATCTACATAGTGGGGAGGCTGGTCCTACGTCACTGTCTCCAAGTTACCTCCCATTGCTTCATCCCACGCAACAAAGGGACACCAAAAGCAGAGCCGCTGAAAGTGACCATTCAGATCAGTCATAAAACCAAACACAGGAGGAAACTTCACAGGCCACTAGTCCTCTCCCCGTCTTCCAGGTGGACTTCCTGTCCGCCATGCAGTCGATTCTGAGTTTCCCATAAACTGCGTCAGTGATTCCACCATCCAGCTAGATGGGCTTTCCTTCACTGCAGTGGCTGAGAACTGGGGTGATCTTGCCCCTCAGGGGCATCTCTGGCAATGTCTGGAAACGTCAGCAGGTGTCCTGACTCGGGGTGTGTTGCTGGCATCTCGTGAGCAGGGGCCAGGGATGCGGCTAAACATCGTACAATGCCCAGGACAGCACCCACCACGGAACCGCGCAGCCCAAGGTGCTGACAGTGCCGGGGTTAAGAAATGCTGCTTTCATGGGACCTCAGCACTGCTCTTGGTAATGGAGTCCACAGCTTGCGGTCTCTCGGCAAAGATGATTGTTATGGCTCTAACTATAAACTTCTAACTTCAAAAGGAGCCAGAACACCAGCCCAGGCCTCTAACCAAATGCTGGCAGGGGGAACAGCAGGGCAGACGGGCACCAGGCAACCGCACAGCACTGCAGGCACGCCGGCTCCATCAGCAGTGACGCCTGTCAGGCAATGTCCCCGTCATTGGAAACTCCCCGGATCGCCATGTAAGTTTGACAACTTTCCCCAACTGTCCCTTTCCGCTCCCCACTATGGCACTTTCTAGTGACAGCCGAGTTTGGGGGTTTTTTACTTTTCCCCTGAGTAAGTATTAAAAATAGCGTGAAAAGTCAATCAAAGAGACGAAAATAGTAAATAACCCTAAGGTGCTTTCCATCCTGGAAAGTCTATGATTTAACAGGACATAAAAGGTTTGTAAATCAGATCTGGAACTTGAAAAGAGATCGGCAGCTTAAAGAAACAGCCCCACGAATAAATAAAACATCTAACGTCAAAGGATCATCAAAAGAACGTGCGTGCAGATCTATGCGTGTAACTGCACAGACCCAGCTCGGGGAGGAGGGAAGGGGCTGAACCTGACGGGCTGGCAGGGAAAATACATCTTTAGGGACTGAAGAACACAATGTACATTCCACATCTCTTGGGAAGAACACAGAAATTTAAAATTCACCACGGAAAAGCCTTTTTTAAACAAATCTTAATGAAAAGAAAATCTCGGGCGACAGAAACCTTACTAATCAATATAGAATTGATAAATAAATCACGGCTCATTCATATATCACGGAGCCATTCAAATCATACGGAGGAAACCTTGGTGCCATGGATACACATTCACAAGGTCTTAGGGAAGACAGGTCACAAACAATGCAGACAATACGATAGCAACCCTGCGTAAAACAGAAACACACATGAGTGAGTGAGTTTACATAAGAAACGCACGCGCGCGCACGCACGCACGCACGCCGAGGGAGACTGCTCACGGTGGCCATCTCAGGAGCAGGAGCGGGGAAGGAAGGCTGCGCCTGGTTTCTACTCCTCCTCCGCGCCGCTCTCTGTTTTCTGATTGTTCCACAGTGAGAGTCGCTTGCACTGTTTTGCACATGCAAAACTAACACATCATTACAAATTTAAACGGTAATATTTTAGGAGCTGTCTACAAAAAAAAAAAGAAAAACTCGGAAGATGCCAACTTTCCGAATTAAAGAAACCGGCGTGGGAGTCAACAAAAGCGGACCTCTATTGGGCATTATTATTACGTGCCCGGCGCTTTTCTAAACACTTCAAATGCATTCACGTTTCCCACCAAATCAAAAAAGATGTAAGAAAGAGGCTGGAATTCCACACGCTGTGAGCGAATGTTCGTCCCCCCGGGACTTTCCACGTCAGTTGCCACAGCCTGAAATGAGGGGCTCGGCTGTGGTCATCTTTACGGGGCCCCTCGGCGTCTGCAAGGAAGCTTCTAGAGAAAGACACAGCAGCCGCATGCCGTGTCAAAAACAGAACCCTACTAAGAAGAACATGTGGCTGTGTGTCCCACTTGCTCCTCAATATTAATTCCTAACAGGTTAAAAAATGTAAAGGCCTAAATGTTCCCAATACTTGGAAATATAACTGATCAAAATGTTACGATGATGTCGAACTCCTTCGACATCATCGTGGAGTCGTAAAACACTGAGGTTGCTTTCAAAACAATAAGCCTGCAGCCAACAAAAACTTAAAAAGATATATTTTAATCACGTTCTGGGTAGGACCATTTTCGTGTCTGATTTAAGGGATCTGAGGACCTAGTGGGAGTCACCGAAAGGCGTTCCATTTCTAAAATAAAATCAAAACCTCAAACAACACTGAATGAAGATGAGGGGCCAGCATGGGTGTCCTCTGCGGGGAATTCACACAGCTGCGTCGTGAAGGCGGAACGTGGGCTTCCCGCTGAGCTGTGAGGTCGGTCCCGCAGGCCACCCGTGACACAAGGAGGCCAGCCATGGCTCGGCGGTCCCCGCGTGGGCTGGAAGGAACCACGGCGGCTTGGGAATAAACCCTGACCTGTTAGGTCCCCCTTCACGTCTCACTTGCCACCATCAAAAAAATAGGTTCGTGAATATGTTCATCAACAACAACAAAAAAAAATCTACAAATGCACGTTACGTTAAAAATAAGAAACGCCGGTGGGTCTACGACAGGAACATGAAGGGAGATAATTTCCAGGTTAGAGCCGCACAAAAACTATTTGGCAAACACAAAGACGCAAGACGCAAATTAAGGTTGCAAGTGTGAAAGACACGCTCGGTTTGCACACAAAAGAAAAGCAGCAAAACGACTCGAAATTGGAACGGCCCCGGGACCCCGCGTGAGCCTCCTCCCGGGGGCCGAGCCTCCTCCGGGGGGCCGTGCCGCCGCCCGCCCCGCGCCGCCGCCCCGCAGCCCTCCGCGTCCCCCTCGCCGGGCGCGCGGCAAACCAACGGCGACAAAGCGAGCCCGCAACTTCGCCGCCGCTGGCCCCAGGGCGGGCCGGGGTGCTGGGGCGCCGTAGCGGGCGATCCCGGACGCCGGCGGGCCGCTCCTTGTTCTGGAACTCCCGCCGGCCCGGGACGCCCGGACCTCGCAGTGGGCGCGTCCGCCCGCCAGCCGCCCGCCCGGCCCTACGCGCCCGGGTCCCCGGCGTGTCGCCGCCGCCACCGCCTCGCGGGCAGGGACCAGGGTCCCGCCACCGCGCCCGCCGCCGTCCCGGAAGTCGCCCGTCCCTGTAGCCTCTTACCTGCGCCCACCGCCCCCGCGCCTCAGAGCGCCGAGAGCAGCCGCCCCCGTCGCCGCCACCCCTCCGCACGCCCCGGCGCCCGCGGTCGCGGCGCCGCCATCTTGGCCCCGGTCGGAAGTGACGTCGGGCGGCGCCGGCCGCGGCCTCGAGAGCCTGCACCACGCGCGCCGTCGCGGAGCCCCGGGCCGCACGCGCCCCGACGCGCAGCCGGCCCGGTGGCCCCGTCAGGCCGAGCAAGAAGAAAGCCTCGGGTCGCACACCCCTCGACGACTCGTGCTGCAGGGCCGGTCCTCGCGGGACTCCGTGGAGCCCACGGCGGCGCCTCTGGAAGAAAACCCCAGCGGCCAGGCGGTCGGACCGCACCGGAGGATTGGGATTCTGCGCGATTGAAAGCCAAGAATCCACAGCCTTTCATAAAAAGCGAGGAGGGAAAAATGGGTTCATCACTAAGTACCATCAACCCCATTCTTCGCTCATCTCCAGAGGACCCGTCTGGTTTAACCAAAAAGAACCAAAACTCCAAGAGGGCAGGTGCATCTGTATTTATTGCCCGCTTGCCCTGGTGCCTCGCACCATTCTAGGTGTTGTGGCTCTGGCACAGCACGTGACACCTCCTATGTAAATAAGCCCCTTTGGAACTAATTTACATACAAGGACACAAATAGAAGGCCTGGGTGCAGAATGCGGGCATGGATGTGAGTTGAGTTGAATTGGAGGTGTCTACTAGGCATCCAAGAGGAGATGGCTAGCAGGCAGTTGGAAAGAAGGCTGGAGGTGAGACAGAGAATTGGGAGTTGTGGCATAGGATGATATTTAGGCCGCACCATAACGAATAGACACTGGGTTAGATGCAGGTGCACCTTGGAAACTTACAGGGGTGCACACGAGTCCATTTATGTAACTAGGGCAGTGATTTTTCACCTGGCGTTCACCAAGAATCTCTGAAATATGCAGTACCTGACTATTTACCCAGCGGCACTGACCTTTTCCCTTAGACTGACAAATTTTAAAAATTCCAACAGTCTACTCAACAACAGCTGTCCAGTGTGAATGAATCAAAATTATACTTATTTTTTTCTTGTCCGATTGGCAAAAAATAGATTTTTTTGGTATGCCACCGAATTTTAGTAATTAGTTTATGTGGGCCCTAAGGTGAAAGGTTAAGAATCGCTGAACCAGGGCTTAAGCTTAAAGAGCATGATGTCACAACACATTGCAAAGGGATGATGCTATAGCGGATGACCTAGTCAGGCAGAGTGAACACATGAAGATTATCAGTAAATTTTACTAAGGCTTTAAGAAGTGGCAAGGTCAGCACAGCGTAAGAAAAGAACTCAATCCTCATGAATTTGCCTATTTCTTCTGCTATTAGGAAGGAGATTCTGGATCCCCTGCCTGTCCCTAAAAGAGAGTACTCTGCTGTGGGGCAGAGCGCGCTGATCACACTTTTCCACCCCTTCCCGGGACCGTTGCTGGGAAACATGGTCCGTGCATCCAATTCACCTGAGTGTCTGCAAAAAGAAAGAAAATAGAAAGTCAGGGGGACTCCACCATCCCACCCCCAGTCAAAACACGATGTACCAATCAAAAATCTAAAAGAAAGCTCTATGCCATCTGGCATTCAGTAGAATGCAAAGGAGAATAAAGGAACATTAAGTTAGAAGTGACTCAGGGAACCAGAACAGATACTAGGCAGCATCGTGCCAAGAGCTGGTTGACAGAGCAGTCAGTGGTTGTTCCCCCAGCGCATCTAAAATGACTGGGTATATTAATTTCCTGGGGCTGTTGTAAAAGAATACCTCATACGGGGTGGCTCAAGTAACAGAAATGCATTTTCTCACAGTTCTAGAGACCAGAAGTCCAAAGTAAGTATCCCTGGGCCACGATTAAGGCATCAGCAGGGCCACACTCCAACTGAAGGCTCTGGAAGGAAATCATCCCTTGCCTCTTCGGGGTTCTTGTGGCTGTCAGCATTCCTAGGCTCGTGGCTACACCACTCCAGCCTGCAAGGCCGGCATCTTCACGTCTCTCTGTGCTTCATTTCCACATCACCATCTGCTCTGTGTGTGGGCAGATTTCCCTCTGCCTTCCTCTTACAAGGATACGTGCAATTACATTTAGGACCCGCCGGATAATCCAGAATAATCCTCTGCTCTCAAAATCCTTCGCTTAATCCCATCTGCAAAAACCTCTTGTGTATGGGAATTAGGATGTGGACAAGTCTTTGGGGGTCATGATTTAGCCTGCCACACTGGGCGTATCCTCAGTGCTTCGAAATTCCCTGCTAATCAGACATTGCGTGTTTTTCATCTGTATATTTTCCTTGGCCATATTTATGTTTGCAACCTGTGCTATTCAGGATGACACATATTTTATCACAATCCCAAAGAGATATAAACTATCATGAATGCAATCATTACATAAATGTTTATAATCTGTCTGATGTGCTAAGTATCACTCTTTCGCCTCTTTGGAGAGGCGATGTATATTGCTAGAGGAGGAGGGAAGGAAACTGAGACATTTCTATCACATTTCACAGGCCGTTTCTATATTAAGGGATGGAAGCATAAAATGCATTCTGTCTAAATCCATAGCGTGAATGAAACTCCACACTGCACAGGTATGTCTCCTGCAGGTCCTGGCTGGCATTGTGTCGTGGCGTGCAGAACCCTTTCAGAGAATGTAATCATCATTCGTCCCAACACTCTGGTGCCCGGAACCGTCTGGCATATAAAACTACATAGATAGTTTTAAGGGGAGAAAAAAGTCGTCTCCCCAGCTCTCCTGCTGGGGCTGGATTAAAGCTCATGTGTGCGGACCAGCGACACCGTGCACTGCAAGGCAGCTTACGGCTGTAATGGAAACCACGGGGGCCTGCTCAGCACAGCCGCCGGGAGACCTGCAGCATCGCTCCTAAAAAGATAAGGAGGTTTTACAACCAGACTAAAAAATTTACAATAATCGCCCGCAGGAATGTAAATGGACTTAAAATTCCCGGATTGCCCGCGGTTCTTATTCTCCACTGACTTGGATTCTGGACATTTTACACAACTATCTTCACCTTCGTAGCAACGCCTGTGGGATAAGCGCTACCCTCATTTTATGGCTGAGGAACTGGAGGCCAGGAAAGGTTAAAGAATTTGCCTGGTCAGAAGCAGGTTTTAAACCTAGGCAGTGTAGCTTTCCGGTGAGCCGCAGGCTTAAGAAGTAAACCATACTCTCTATACACACACGCGCGCCCAAGGGCTGGACCAGGAGCTGGTCCCGGGGACTCTGCTGTCAACTGAGCTACTCAGGGTGGGCATTGGAACATTTGTTTTTTGTTAAATGTCTGCATAAAGAATCTGTTCTCAATACCCTCTGTGGGAGGTCAGGCAAAAACATCTCACGATCAGAAGAAGGGGCATTGAATGTCCCCTTTCAAAGAGAAACGGCTTCAAATGAAATCACGTTCTGTTCAAATAACACATCACTTCCCTTTTGACACGTACTGAGGGTCCCTGGGGACTGCAGATCGCCTTCGGCGGGAGCCAGGGTCTCTTCCCCCAGGCTCTCCCCCTCGCCCTCCCCACCGGCTGTCCGCAGCCAGTCGCTCCCCAAGCCTGGAGTGACATATTAGGGAGCCCTCCCGCAATCCGAAGGTCGGAAACTCGGATTCCGGGTTCTCTTTAGGAACGAATGAATGAAGTTCAAAGACAGAAGCTCTGAGGGTCAGAGATGCGTGTTACTGTGTCGTGGACATTTGGGGCTGCATCATTTCACTGTGAAAGCTTCTACAGCCTCAAAATGTGTAGAAGGTCTTAGCTGTGGTGAGGTTTCACGGCAAGGCGTGGAAAGGTGGGGCACTTCACTGAGCACCGGTCTCGCCAGCACCTTGAATTACAATACAACAACAACAACAATAGGGACAACTGTTGTTGACTGTGGAGGGGCACAACTGGTGAGTGCCGGAGGCAGGGTTCAAGGGCTTGTTCGTTGTCCAAGTCCATGATCTGTCTGCTGGCCACACTGCTTTCCCGTCAGCCTCAGCGTCACATGCTCTCGGCGCTAGGAGGAGCAGAGTGGGACAAAGACACCACCCCTGACCCCGTCCTCTAAGAACTTAGATCTAGTGGAGCAGGCTGGACTTGCACCCCGAAGTGTGGCAGAGCCGAATATAAGGCCACCACATCATCCTCATGCCTCCCGCGTGCTCCGTGAGAGTTTGCTCCGACTTTTTGTTCCAATACTACTTTAAAAAAGAAAAGAAAAGAAAGAACACCAACTCCCAGAGGCTAACATTTCTCACCAATTCAAATTAAGATCCCCCCAGTAAATATATTTCATCCTATAAGAAAATTCAGAGCCGCAGGTTCAATTCCCAGTCAGGGTACATGCCTGGGTTGCAGGCCATGACCCCCAGCAACCGCACATTGATGTTTCTCTCTCTCTCTTTCTCCCTTCCTTCCCTCTCTAAACATAAATAAATAAAATCTTAAAAAAAAAAAAGAAAGAGCACCAACTCCCAGAGGCTAACATTTCTCACCAGTTCAAATTAAGACCCCCCAAATAAATATATTGCATCCTCTAAGAAAATTCAGAGCATGACTTCTAGATCTTTCCGTAGCACTTCTCATACCACATTTTTAGAGCCAAACCTGATAAAAGGTTCAGGATTTTCCACGCATGTCTCCAGCAGCATCCGCTCCTGTTTCGGACCCTCCCGTGCAGCAGGCTCGAAGGCCGATGCAGTTTTGCCCCAGAGAACACGAGGGGAAGTGACTGTAGCACTTACCTCCCTTGGAGGCAGAACGCATTCGCTACCACGCCACCGCGAGAGCATGAACAAAACACACAAGCTGGCAACAAGGACATAAGCGAAAATATCCTTGGGCAGGAGATAGCAAGCAACGCGAGGAGAAACAGAAGATAAGTCAGGTGCAGGAATATGCAGACAACACTGAGGCAGGACATCCCCAGCCAGTTTTTGTTTCCCCAGGTGGGAAGCTCCTGTGGGGCCCTTTGCAGGGGCGTCTATGGACGATCACGGCTCATCCGTTTCCCCTCCCCCCCCCACCGCCCCGGGCCTTCACCACCCGCGGGGACCTT